GTAAACTTACCGAAAACTTCCTGTAAACTTCCTGTCAAGTTTAGTAGACATCATGTAAACTTCCTGTACATTTCATGTCATTTTTTAAATCATCCTGTAAACTTCCTGTCAACTTTCAGTAAACTTCCTTCCAGCTTCCTGTAAACTTCCCATAAACTTCCTGTAAACTTCCTGTCAGTTGTACTGACCAAAACAGTTTCTATATCATTCAGTGGGTGAAAGTTCACCACTTTGAGCCAAACTTCATCAGAGAATAATCAATAAGTCCAGAAATGTGAGTTCCACCAGCAGGAAGCCGGACACCAGCGCTGAGCTCCCCTCAGAGCCCAGACTGATCCCACAGAGAGGAGAAAGAGCATCCAGCAAAGTCCACATCAGTCTGCTACTGGACCAGCCTCAACAGGAACGGACTCAGGCTGTAAGGGCTACAACAAGTCTCCAAAAAAGAGAGACTTCAAGCCTCTGGACTCCATTCTCTCCTCAGAACAGACCTGAGCAGTTCCTGCTCACAGGAGGAGCAGCCAGGCCATTCCACGTGAACACAGCCCACTGAGTGATTTAAGAGGGGGTGTGGAGGAGGAGGAGGAGGAGGAGGGGGAGGAGGGGGCGGGGGAGGGAGGGAGGGATGCAAAGACGGGAGCAGCCAGTTCCTGTGACTTATTCTTCAGGTCGGCAGAGAGCGGAGCGGCCACAGCACCCAAATGATCCTCCTCCTCCTCCTCCTCCTCCTCCTCCTCCTCCTCCTCCTCCTCCTCCTCCCTCCCTCCCCCCTGCAGCCCGGAGGAGGAGGAGGAGGCCGCGGGGTAATAACACATGCATGTCATCTCACAAAACAGAAATATGACCCTGCTTCCCAGCCAGAGGAGGAGAAGGAGGAGGAGGAGCAAGAGGGGGAGAGGGAAGGAGGAGAAGGAGGAGCTAGAGGGCTGGGGAAGGAGGAGAAGGAGGGGAATGAGGATGAGGGGAGCAGGAGGGGGAAGGGAAGGAGGAGGAGGAGGAGCAGCTTCAGAAGCTGAGCTGGTAGGGGTCATGGCCCCATGACATCACGGAGTATCTAAGGTGTGATTGGTCCCAGTGCCCCCCCCTGAGCAGGTGTCAGCCCCCCACAGCTGCTTTTATTAAAGCAGGAAGCCATGGTGTGAGCGTGCACGTGGGGGCAGGCGCTGACATCTGGCCTGGTCTCCAGGAGCCCCGCCCCTGCTCACCTCCAAACTGGGGAGGTGGAGCCTAACCAACCACGGCCAGTCAGAGGCCTCCTCCTCCTTTGGCTCCAGTTTAAGCCCATTTAGTTTGGCCCAGTTTAAACCCGCGTTGGCCCCAGTTTAAACCTATTTGGCCCCAGTTTAAAGCTGCTTTGTGCCAGGTTTAAGCCCACTTCGTGCTTTGGGCCCAGTTTAAACCCATTTGGGCCCAGTTTAAACCCACTTAATTTGGGCCCAGTTTAAACCCATTTGGGCCCAGTTTAAACCAGTTTGGGCCCAGTTTGGGCTGGATGTGGGCCCACATTAGGCCCGCTCTGAGCCGGCCGGCTGGGGGGGGGCTCCACCTGCAGCCTGTAGAGTAGCTCAGGACATTTTAGAGGACACTGTTTCAGAGTGAAAGCATTTTGACAGTATTATCTCATAACCCCCCCCCTCTCTGCGGTGACCCATTACGGGGGGGGACAGAGCAGCCAAACCAATGGGAGGAGGCTGCGGCCATTACGGTGAGGAGCTGCCCTACCTGTGCTGAGTCAGCAGGCCGCTGCTCCATCCGTCTAATGGACAGCGCAGAATTTAATTAGCAGGAAGCCGCAGTGTGTGTGCGTGTGTGTGCGTGTGTGTG